AGCAACATCCCCGACTTGGCTGGAACATCCAGGGACACTGAGAATCAGCCGTTAGAAGAGGTTTAACACATATGATACAGTATCCTGCAACTTAATATCTTGATTTGTCCAATCCACTCTGGCAGTCGTCCTCCATATGTCCGCAAACAGCATGCAAGAGTAGCTGTTCCTCCTTCCCATACCACAGCTCACCAGCAAGACAGTAAGCTGACAATGTTTTCCAGTGATAAAAAAGTAATATAAAAGTATTTAAAAAATAAAAAATAAAAGTTGTCAAAGCAATTGTTCAGCTTGTATCGGTATCAGTATCTAGCTATTTCGACTATGATTTTCCAGAGCACACGAGCTGCCAAGAAAAGCAAAACAGGCCTGTGCATCACAAGGATCCTTCTCTGCTTAAGTCCCTACTGTTGAGAGCAGTCAGGGCACTGAATTTTCCCCATACTCAGCATTATTTTCCAGTGCACACTCTAATACAGTTACTGCCCCCGATAAACTCTTGTGTTGCCCCTGAGCCCTGTAGCAGGTTAACCGTGCTCTGTGGCTGGAGCCTTTCTGCAAGGCAAGGTGACAAGCCAAAGGTCTCCCTGATCTGTACTGGGGAGCTCATAAACCACGTTTGGTTTCTTAGTCTCCATCAACTGGAACACTGACAATAGATTCATTCACCTTTTAAAAGTAATTGTTTTTCAAGCTCTTCCACAGGTTGCAGTTCCAGGAGCACCAAAGCTTTCACGAAACCTCTATTAAGGTTGCCCAGATGCTTTCCAAAGCAGTAAAATTTATTGGTCCATTATCAAAACAGGATGAACCACTAAAACAGATACTATTCCAGTTGATTACTTACATGCAAGCAGCCTTCAGGCCAGAGATGCCTTTTTAGCATAACAAACACCAGTTTCTCTCACGCGCAGCCCTACCACTCCACAACACAGTTCATTAGCTGATCCCAGTAAAAGCAGTGCCTGCCTTTCCAAAGACAAAGCCTGCCGTTGTACACTTATGAGTAATATCCTGGAGAAGCTACAAGCATCACAGCATAGCGAGTGATAAACTTCTGTGCTTTCTTTGACACTGACAGCAGCCAAAATATGAGGACATCAGCGTGTTATGGCAGCCATCCACATGTCAAGTTTTTCAGCCAGCTGGATGGGCAGATGAGCCAGTTTAGTTTAACACCTTCTTAAGGAGCTTCATGCGCACTAGCCTGCCCTCAGCAGGCAGGTAAAGAAAAATGCCAAATACCATTAGAAATGGTTAAATAAGCCCACTTTAAAACTAGATAAACAGCCTGCACCACATACAGTGGCTACAGGCTCTGACAGTTTTTGTCAGGGCTTCAAAAGTAAAGATTTCAGCAGACTTGAGACTATTTTTTTTTCAGCCTGTTTTTCAGCCTGTTTTTTCACTGCCTCTTCATGCAGTATCTGACCAGCCTGATCAGACCTTCCAGCAACCTTCCGGGTGGACAACACCACAATGAGAGACGCAGAGAATGTCCTTCGATTCTCCCAAACCATGATTCAAAAAAGCCAGCATCTTTTTCAGCTGATGGTTTATAGCTCACATGCAGGCAGCTTTCAGGACAGAAACCTCAAAAAGTTTAACAAACACTAGCCAGTAAAGATATTCATACATCTCCAATGTCTTCAGTCGAGTACTGACAGCTGGGATAGCAATTGGACATATTATCAACAGGCCTGAATTTGTCAGGAAGCAAGACCCTTTTGAATGAAAGGAAGCAGGAGAAAGGGGAAAAAAAAAATAGACACAAGAATAAGCTTTAAGAGAATTAAACATACACTTCCTATATTGTGAAGCTTCTGCACACACTAGAATCACACAGACTTTGCTCTAATATGTTTTAGGTATTCTGCACTAGTGTTTTATCTGCTAAGGCAGAACCTAACATATTTGCAGCTTATGAGGAAGGTGGCTGCACATTTTCAAGTAGTTGATCTAATCTAAACTTCCTGCCATCCAGTCCACAATCTGAACTGGTATTTATCAAAGTAAGCACTAACATAAGCAAAGGGAAGCTAAAGCTTCCCAAATGGGAAGAGCAAAAGCAAGGGGAAAACGCAGTTTCCCATATCCCCACACCAGTGGGCAAACACCTGTTGTCAAGGGGCTGTTTCACAAGAATATTCCAGCCAGTGAGGTAAGGTTCCTATATTCAGAAAAATCAGTGGTAAAAGCTCTGCTGAGCCCAACAGGAAAAAGTTCAAACCCTGCAGAAGGAGATAGAGGAGATTTCACAGGATGATACAGGCTACAGTAAGCAACTAGAAACAGATTTGTCTTTAGCTGTTAAATACACAGCTGAGCAGGACCAGATAAGAAAGTGATAAAAGGTATTATATACACACCCCTCTCCTCCAAACTAATCTTATTTAATTTTAATGCATTTAGCAGCCCACCCACCATTCATCCTGTTTCGTACCACACAATTCTGACAGACCCACTTTCCTTTTTTGTTTCAAGCTGCTGAACAGTTGCATGCATCTGCTTTTTAAAGAGTGTACTATCAACTCCAAACAGACTGGCCAGTTTTACCATTTTATTTTCATCTCCTTTAATTTACATATATAGTATATTTTTATATATATATACACACACACACATAGTGGAAGACAGCATTATTTTCTGCAGCTTCTCTGGTACAACTTAACTGCTTTTACTGGCATCATTTATTACTTAATTACATATTCAATTGGCTTTATATACACTTAGCTGCCTGGGTGCATTTGCCTGGGTCCTGCCCTCAGCTAGCAGGACTAAGTATAGGCATTATTTTACGTTCTTGTTTTGAAGATGAGAATGAGAAGTTACCATTTTCTTCCCTAGGACTTCTTTTTATAACCCAATGTATTTAAGAAATCCCCTTTCCTATACAAAGGAGTAGGAAAGGTTGTACTTCCTAGTTACGTGTTAAGGAGACAACATTATTTAAAAAATAAAATGAAATCAAAAGAAACCTGAAGAATCAGTAACGATTTTTGCCATAAATGCTTTAAATAAATTACTGAAAAAAAATGAATTAGAAGTGGACAGAACAGTATGGCCACATTATAGATACTGCTACTACAGTTGTTTTACTGCCAGGCTCACAAGGGGGCTACAGCTCCATGTCTTGAACCCACAGCAGAAAAACAGACAGAATAAAGAAAACTCAGAAGGAGGATTCTGACATGGAAAAGAACTTGAAACTCTAGCAAAGAGGGCAAACAGTTAAATCACCTGGGCGAGACAACAGGCACCTCTCCCTGTTTTTCTGATGTTTTCCTCTTTAGTCTGTTTCCTGCGCAGCGTATCTCCTCTATCCAGCCTTAACCTCTTTAAATTTATGATCCACATCCAGTCTTTGTCTCCCTAGAGAGGAACTGGGACACAACCCACTAGTCCTTTCCAAAGATAAGAGCAGCGTTTCCTACAGAGAAGCTCAGCACTGACAAACGGAGCGCTCTGTTCAAGAGTCAAGGCCCTCGTCACCACACAACAGATAAGGGACACAGTGTCACTGGAGGGGCTATCACCCTGCTATGTATAACCTGGTACCACTTGAACAGCTCCTGCACCAATGGAATGCTGCAGGCAAGTAATAAATCTGATGAATAAAGTGTTGGGAAGCAGAGGGGACAACTGGGCTAAACTGGAGGGGACGAAGGCAGTGGTGAGTTAGGATCTTGGTGGAGACTGACGTGAATGGCCCAGGGCAGAAATCATGGGAAATCCAGAGAACAACCGGGTGGATTTTCACCATGTGGGCATCCATTCCCTCCACTGTAACAGCACATGAGCAAAAGTCACGAGTTGGGCCCTGCTGAACACTTAAACCCTGGTAAACTTCATCTTAATTAAAGGAAATACAGCCCCTTAGATGTTGTATAATACCCAGTGAAATGCACGTATCATGCGAGAAATAATTCCACATCCTTCTAGGAAACAAAAGACTTTCTCATCAGCTGTTACCAGGCCTTATTCTCTACAAAACAGCTAACAAAACACTGCAGAAATAAAATACTTCTTGAGATATTTTACATCCCTGCTAAACACAACATATAAAGTTACATACTTCCAACAGAATCTCTCCCAGATGTGAGACCACTTGCACTATATAGAAAGTGCAGTTTTGCACCAAGGGCTGTTTAACAGTTTTCCTCTCTCATTAAAAAATAAATTATTAAAAAAAAAACCCACTCCAAATAATTCCCAGTATTCATGCAAGTTCACCTTAAACGCTTTATAAATTGTTGTTAATCCCACCCACGTGTTAATCCCATCCAACATCATGCCCCTAAAGCCTCCGGCATCCGCAGGTTGGCAAGGGGCATCGCACGCCTGTCACCCAGCCGTTCTCCTACACCCAGCCGCTCTCCTAGTTATGCGACGCAAACCTCAGTTCTGCGGGGCAGATGTCACCTGGTGCAAGGGCCTGGGGGCCGTGAGGAACCTCCCTGTGTGGGGGGCAGCGAAAGCTGAGGTCACGGCCGCCGCTGCTGCAAACCTGGCCACTGTGAACGCAGCTTTGGCTAGAACTCCTACAAGAGAAAGGAGTCACCGCAGGCCCGCTGAAGCCAGCTGGGACGGTCACCGCGGGCCCTGGCAGGGCTCCGGGGAAGGTCTCTGCAGAGCACCTGGCACCATGATACCTGCGGGAGCCCAGGGCTCAGGCCAGGTTACCGGACACTTCGAAACTTCGTGAGTAAAGAAGCAACGATGCCCTTGAACCCCCGCTCCCTGCACTTACGGGGGTATTTATTACACTTCAAATCTAATTATACTTGCAGCTACTTTCCGAGCTCTTTTTTTCTTTTCCCTCTCTCCTTTTCACCGATGGCAGCGAGGGCAGCACGGCACGAGGGGCTCGTGGAGGGCACCCGGGCGGACAGCGCAGGGCTCCGCCGCGTCCCGCCGGGCTCCGCCGTGTCCCAGCCGCGTCCCCGCGCGGCGCGGAGCCACCTGCCGGGGCGCGGGGCCCGCCGGCCGCCGGGACTCACCCAGAAGAGGAGGTTGAGCGCGTAGAGCAGGCAGCGCAGGCACCGCACCGAGTCCTCCCTGGCCATGGCGAGCGGCGGCCGCGCGCGGCGCCATCCTCCTCTCAGCACATGGCGGGCGCCGAGGCCGGCCCGCGGGCGCCCTGCGGGGAGAGGCGGGCGGCCGAGGCGGCGCCGGGGCCGCGCAGGTGGCGCCGGGGGCCGCCCGGCCTCACCCGCTCGCGCCGCGCCGCGCCCCTAGGGCGCGCGCACCCGGACACGCACGCACACGCATACATAAACACACACACACGTATGGACACATATGCGTATGGAGGCACCGGGAGCCTCCTCCGCCTCCCGCGCGAGGCGAGGGGCTGCGGAGGGCGCCCGGCGCCCCGCGCTGCCCCGCCACGGAGGGAGGGACGCGGGGAGGGAGGGACGAGGGACGGAGGAGGCGGGGGGCAGCGGCCACTCACCGCCCGCGCCCCGTCACTCACTTGCTCCGGCGGCGCCTCATGGGGGCGGGGAGGTGCCGCGCGCGGGGCGCTGCCCTGGACGGGACGGGACGGGACGGGACGGGGCTCCGCACCCTGCGCGGGCTCCGCGCCGCGAGGCGGCCGCCAGCTGCCCGGGC